TTAATGATTGGAAGATCATCATCTTCGTTATTATATATTTCTTCTTCCTCATTTGGTGGAGTTTCATTTAGATCAAACAAAAACTCTCTTTCATCACTTATAAATGGAAGATTCAGATCAATATTAGAATTCATGAATGAAATTGTGATTCATTTGTTTGTCTCGTAGATATTTATAAGCATAGTCAATTTAAGTTTGGCTCCAAAACAAAATTTAAAAGTTTTGGTAAAAATTTTATGTTTTGTTGATTTGGCTCCATGTTTAAATTTTTTAAAAATTTTCAACAATGAATTTTTTTTTGTACGTGTTCTTCCATCTTGTGTTCTTCCATCTTCAAGTCAAAAACAAATAAATTTGATTAAGAAGAATAAATTGATCATTTATCCAGTATGTGAAATTGTGATGTTATTAATGATTGTGAATTAAAGAAATTGGGATCAGCAACATTTGACCTTCTTAAAATCTTATGTATTTAATTTATTTAACAAATTAAAAATCAAACAATATAATGACAATAATTAAAAGGTTAAAAATGGTATTACACAAGCTTTCTTAATTTGTGTGTAGAAACCTTAAACATCAACTATTTCTGAACAGAGGGAGTATTGTCTTATATGCAGATAAGTGCAAAAACGTTGGAGAGAAAGAGGAACGACGCAGTTTTCAGTCACCAAGGATAGAGACCTGCGATTTGCCGGAAAACTTCCCGGAAGGATTCAACACAAGAGGAAGCTCAGTTTGCCTTAGAAAAATCTCAAATTTTGGTACAATCTCGTCCTCTAATCTCTCTCTCTTTAAAAGGCATTTCCTTTTCAAAAAAATAAAAAAAAATAAAAAAAAAAATAAAAAAATCCGAAAATAACAAAATAAAGGAAATAAAAGCCTTAGAGAGTCTAGAGAGGTCGAATTTTAAGTCCCAAGGCAACTGGAGTTTGATTTTATGGAGTTTTGGTGATTGTTTTCTGATTCCCGGAAAGAATCTAAGCCTGGGGGAATAGCTGTTTACAACAAAGGAGGAAGGAATATGTAACAACATTTGGCAAGAAGAAGTAACTGAAAACTGTGGTCATCAACAAGTCCTTATCTCTCTTGCGGTTTTGCATATTATCTTGCATCCTCCAGATCTTCAGGTAACCCGAAACACTTTGACTCCACTACTTAAATAGCCCTTTAATGCCAAACGCCGTCTACCCTGGATGATGTCTTTAATGAGAACTCACTATTGAACTTAATGAATGTAGAGAGCTAGTTGACTGGAATCAAGATTTAAATTGTTTAAGTTTGGCATGACGGAAAAAGTGGACTAGTATCTCTTATGCATTGGTGAGAATTTTCTAGACTAAGTTGTGGATTGATGCACTATCTTTGGAGTTTAGGAGTTCATGTCTATGAGATTTGTGCATTCCCTATTTTTGTTTTCACTAAACCAGTTTAGGCTTTTGCTTTGTTTGAGGACAAACAAAGGTTTAACTCTGGGGGAGTTGATAACACCGTATTTTGACCACTTTTATGGATCGTTTTGAAATACTTTTTCTATGTTTTTAATTGCTTTTAAGTACTTTTATCATGTTTTCTAGTATTTGTAGTTTTCCAAGACTCTTTTCAGGTAACTTAGGGAAAAACTTAACAAAATGGATAGAAAACCAGATTTTAGCTCAGAGTCAAACCGTCAGAAGTTCACCCCTGATTGAAGGCCTTCTCACCGTCTGATCCAGATCAAATTTGGAGACCCTAAAGATGGAAGTATCAGCTTTCCAGCACACTTTACAGCTTGGCAATCCAACGGTTCAATGAAAAGATACGCGAAGAGAAAGATGTCTTGTAAACCAGCAGGCAAGCAACTCCACCCGCGGCCAACAGGCCATTTCCCGCGGTCAGAAGCATCCCGACCGCGGCAAACCACTCATTCCCCGCAGTCACAGCACTCCCGACCGCGGCAAGCCAACTCCGAGCCCAAAAGCCCATTTCTGAAGCCCACAATGATTCCCTCATTTGGAGAAACCCTAAGTGACGTCCAGAGCACTATAAATACATGTTTTAGGAACCTTAATCGAAGACGAATAATAGAGAACCGAATTATTACTTCATACTTTCATTGTTTTTGCTTTAGCTTTTAGGGAGAGAGAGATTTGTCTCTTGAACCCTTGTTATTTCTATTTCAATTTTGGTTTCTATTCTACTTATTAATACTATGTTTTTGATTTCGTTCATTATGTCTGAGTAGTTTTATTGTTGGGATTAAGGGATTTTCGATAGGGATTTATATATTCGATGAGGATTCCATGAGCTTTTGAGCCGAATCTTAGAACTTTTTCTTCTGAATTCGTTTTTACTGCATGAGAGTAGCGTCATGAACTACAATCTGATCCAGATGCTTGGTGACACGAAAGTGTTCATCCGGTGTCAGATCTAGTTTGGGAGAGCAAAACAAACATAGGAGTGGAAACCTACCTATGGGTGATTTGTGAATGAGGACGAGTCTTAAACATAATGCATCTCTTCTCTTCCAGGGCCAGAGTGGAAACCTACTGGTCAGGGTTGAGAGAGATAGTTGTCTATGATCATGACAGTGGCGTATTCATACGTCCGTGACTCCAGTTCGAAAAGTTTAAGCTAAGATCTTATCAATTTTACTCTCTAGCAATGTTTTGAATCGTTCGTACCCCTGAGAAAACTTCTCTGAACCCCAACGCCTTCTTTCCTATTGATTTACACCGTTTTTTATTTCAAGCTTTAGTTCAATATTGTCTTTCCTTTTTAGTAGATTTTCATTTAAGCAATTAGAATATCCGTTTTTCTCATTTTTATTCATTTTCGTTAAGTTTAGTTATTAGGTCATTTAATTCCCGTATTTTCTTTTAATATTTCGTTTTTACATTTTAAACACACTACCAAACCCCCACAAAACCGTTTTGGTTCTAGACTTCCTTACTTTATACTTATTTCAAAGGCTTTTTGCAGGAAAAGATCCTCCTTCCCTGTGGATTCGATCCCTAAGTACTACAATCGATCGGCTGTGCACTTGCGGCTATTGATTTCATTTAGGGTAAAACTTGACAACCCTCGACACACACCACATCAGATATCGATGATTGTTTGGTGATAGCACATGCCAAGAAAGTAGAGGCAGAGGCCGCAATGAACACCTCCAAAGGTGTACAACCTGAAGCTGTCTCTGTAAGTAGAGGCTAAGGCCACCACTAACACCTCCGTTAATGTAAAACCTGATGTTCCAAGTAACGTTGTCTCTGTTGACCACCCTGAGTTGGAATTAAAAATGTCTCGGGAATCAGACGAGGTGAGAGATTCGGAAGAGAAGGAAGCTGATGATGTTGACGATGACGCATACGGCTCTGATGATGATTATGATCCGGATTATGATTTTGACTGGTGAAATGATTACGTACTAGCAGATGGTAAGGGTTTCCATTCTAAACCTGGATTTGATGAGGATAACGATGACTCTAGTAGTTCAGGGGGTTGTGGAAGTAGTCGCGGAAGTGAGCCGAGTGATTCAAACCATATGGACTACTCCATTGTCTTAACGGAGAGTCCTATTCATTTTCCTGGAAGAAAGAGGACTGTATGTGAGAAGGTTATGGCTCCCCATGGAGATGATGATGATTTTGTGGAGACTCCGACAGGTGATGTCGTTTGGGGGCGTCAGAATGGCGGTGCAGAACTGAAGAAAGCGATTAAACGTACATAACTATATGGATTTCCGGATGTGGCACCAGTCTCTGATGATATGGAAGGGGATTTCGATGAACTTGATTTGTCAAATGAAGATGGAGAGATATGGGTTGGGAAAAAGTTCAGGAACAAGGAACACTTTAAAGTCACGTTAGCCATCAATGTGCTGAAGAATGTAGTGACGTTCGAATTCAAAAGGCATGCAAAGAAGAATGTCCAGCAAAGATATGTGATTGGAGGGTGTTGGGGTGTCAAGTTGGCGACTCTGCGTTGTATGAGGTGAGGAAGGCGTGCTTGAAGCATACATGCCACCCGGATACAAGAAAGAAATTTTCTAAGCATGTGACTTCTAAAGTCATGGCGGCCCTGCTAAAGTCTAAGTACGAGAATGCAATAGTTGGTCCACGTGCGAGTGAGCTACCTACGATTGTTCTCTCCGAATATAATATTATAGCCTCGTACTGGAAATGCTGGAAAACTAAGGAGCTGGCTATATACTCTGCTCACGGAACACAAGAGACTTCTTTCAAATTATTACTGATTTACCTCCATGTGCTCAAGTATGCTAATCCCGGCACCATAACAAATTTGTCAACCGAGAGAGATGAAAAAGATGGAAAATGTATGATAAGGTTTAAGTCCGTATTTATGGCATTGGCTGCGTGTATATCTGGATGGAAACATTTGAAACCGGTAGTTGTTGTTGATGGAACTCACCTGATTGGTAAGTATAAGGGTTGTCTGTTAACGACCAGTGGACAAGATTCTAATTACCATGTTTTTTCAATAGCGTTCGCCGTTGTTGATGCAGAGTCTGACTAGACATGGAGGTGGTTCTTTGAGAAGTTGGTAGACATTATTCCAGATTCCTCTGATCTTACTATTATCTCGGATAGGCACGATGGAATTGCCAAAGCTAAAAAGAAATAGTATCCACAGGCACACCACGGTGAATGTCTTGTCCATATCCAGAGAAATGTTCACGGTAAATACAAAGGTTCCGTTCAGAAAAGTTTGGTCGGAAAGGCTGGAGAAGCGTTCACAGTTTCTAATTTCAAGAAACTATATACGCAAGGCTGAAGGATGTTGATTATCGTTGTTGGGAGTACATGGAAAAAATCCCTCTTGTGCTGTGGACTAGATCACACTTTTCTGGTCAGAGGTATAATATGACCTCCAGTAACATTGCGGAGTCTCTGAACAATGCACTATTTGCAGCAAGAGACAGTCTAATCGTTGCAATGCTAGAATTTATCAGGTGAATGTTAAGTAGGTGGCTTGAATGCAGAAGAGAGAAAATTCAAAAGATGGATGGTGACATTCCAGAAGAAGTTGACAAGTTAATGAACCTGCAGCTTGAAAAATCTGCTGCACTATCGGTTCAAGGCATTTCTTTGTGGGAGGTTGAAGTCAGTTCTGAGTTCATAGGTGTACGGCGGCATGTTGATCTCCTAAACAAAACATGCTCATGTCTAGAGTTTCAGACATTGAAATACCCTTGCCGACATGCAATGGCCGCGGCTAGGCTTCGTCAAGTGGAGTACAGCAGTTTGGTTGATCCAATTCTTAAGAAATCAATTTGGAGTGCAACAGTTAGTGGCAAAATCCTACCAGTGCCCGACCCTGACAACATTCGTATCCCAGCTGAGGTGCGTGACCTGAATATTATGCCACCTAAGTCAAAACGTCAATCAGGAAAGCCTACGACGAAGAGAAAACTTTCAGCAGGAGAGTATCCTCAGGTTAGTGTACACTAAACAATTATTTTTCCCCAGTCATACTGATTACTGATTACTGATATACGCTGTTGCAGGTTGCGAAAAAAAAGAAGCCAAACAAATGCTCGAGATGTGGAAATCCCGGCCATAACCGGGCAAAATACAAGGAACCATTGGGTTGACCGGGTGTGGCTTTTGTGTGTCTTTTGTTGTGTTTAGGAAAGAGCAAGCCACATTGGTTTTTGTGTGTCTCTTGTTGGTTTTTTTGTGGGGATCTCGCTTTGGTTTTCGGATTTTGTTTCTTGCGTAAACTATGTGTCCATATATTTGAACTTGGCAAGGCATGAACTATGTTATATTTGTTATAAAATTTATGATGTATACTGGACAAGGTGTACACAGTTTGGCTTATGGCTAAATTTACATTATATGGTGTACGCATATAAATATAGGTGTATGCACATTATGCCTACCTAATTAGTGTTTTGCCGATTTGATTAGGACCTGTGGGTGAGGACTTGTATCACTGGGAAGCTATCATAAGGGGCCTAAAGGTTCACCCTATGAGAATGGTGTTTTCAAATTAGACATTCACTTTCCGCTTGATTACCCTTTCGCGCCACCGAGGGTAAGGAATGAAGCATATGATTGCTCTCTTAAATTTCTGTATTTTTAGGGTTTGGGATTTAGTCAATAAAGATTTCAATTACTAATAACACTGTTCTTGCAGGTGACGTTCAAAACAAAAGTGTATCACCCAAACGTTAATACTTATGGGAACATTTTTCTTAAGATGTTGAACCCAACTCACTTCAAGACCAACAACAGCATCAATGATGTATTTTTACTTATGAAAGAAAGAAATCATTATTGTCTTTAGCTTAATAATCTTAATTTTGATTAAATCAGGGCTTAACTATGTATACATGTCTATGTAAATAGGTACTCACTGAAATACACCAAATGTTAATTGCCCCCCAAATAAGTAAAGGACACTTTTTTGTTGAAGACAGGGCTGCTTTTGAAACCACTGCATTTGCATGGACGGTGGAGCACGCCGGAGGAGCATGAAGTCGTGAATTGTTCTATTCATTTTGTTTGTTGAATTGTGTTATATCTTTTGCAAAAAAATAAGACCACCATTTTGTTAGCGTGTTTTTGTCGAAGTTTATGACTTTAAATAATTTTTTATATCAATTTATGCTTTTTATGTTTAGGATTTCATAAATTGTCCAAGCATTTGTTAGTTTCGTCATTAATTACGTAAATATGTATCCGATATGAAACATAAGTCATCGAATATTAATTCAAAGATTCGTCATTACATACTATAAATGAAATATAGGTGTACACTTCATATAGTCTACACATACTCGTGTACACTTGAGAAGGTGTACACCATAAACTTATTTTTAAAGCATTTCGCAGATACGCCTAGCACACCAATATATGAAGCAACCATTGCAAAGTACTCGGATCTCAGGTTCAAAATGATCAAATGCACAATCAGACAGCTTGATGACGTCGTCGTTTGGATATGAAAATGAGTCTAAGTACGTATCCATGTATGCAGTACCGTAATATGAAATCTCAAGAATTAACTCCTCACTTAACTGTCGTACGCGCTCTGACTGTAGACTTCCATGATGCGTTGCCAACAGTTGCAATGTTTGGCTTGCGGAACAAGGGTCACCCAAGCAAACGCTGAACATGGCCGACGCCAGGGTCGAGAGAGCATCGGTGGGAACATTTGGTTCCAGCATGTTCCTACTTTCAATGAGATCGGCGCCTTGGGTTGCAAGTCTCAGGCCTTCCCAGTATCTTGCCTCAGGGTTTCCACTCGCCAAACATTTTAGAAAGAATGGGCGTCTTTCGTTTCCAGGGCATATGTCGTTGGGGACACAGCAAAGGGCATAAATGTTGCAAGATTTGAGGACACCGTCGGTGAAAACAAGCCGGAGTGTGCGCTTTCCAGCGCGGACAAATGGTCCGAGTCGCCAAAATGCTTCACTGCTGACCATCTTGAGGATTTCTATAAGAATTTCATCAGGCAAGTCTGGGAGCGTCATGTTTGGTTTAGGGTTTGTTTTCGTTGGAAAGGAGGCAATTTTAGTTAAGACAAAGCAAATTCATCATATATGGACTTCACTGGTGTGTGGTTGGGGGGGTGGAGAATTTATGATACGGTTGAAAATAATATAATAGTGTTCTGCCTTTTATTAAATATTTCACCTAACCATTTTCTACCCACCATTTTTTAAGAATAATGGTCAGTTCGCTTTTATTAAAGTGCCCGAAACCAGTTTCCTTTATAATGTAGTGCGACGTGTTGAGGTCAATTTAGCAGTTATTGAATTAGGACATTTATATGTCTATCCACCCTGTCTACAAATAAAGCGAATCAAATTTATTTTTCCGCACACTTAAACAACAATGCACTACTTAGACGATGATGTTTTAGGGTTAATAGTAAAGAAACTATCTGAGGATGAATCCTACCATCTTGGCTCCATCATTCGTGCAGGAAAACGTGGAAGAGCCATCGAGTTCACTGACGACGTGTTACGGTCTGCAGACATCTCTCGATTGGTTGAGTCACTGATCGACGTATCCCCAAACAACCCTTACCGCCCATTCTTTGAACGTTGTCTTGGTGCCTACAATCCACGAGCTATTTATTTCGAAGTCATTAGAGTTGCCGTGCGTGAGCGAAGATTGTATTCAGCGATTAGGATGCTTAACCGACTTGTCCCATGTGATAAACATGTTACTTTCGCATGTGCCATGTTTGAAATTTGCGTCGGACGTCCACGAAGGGCTAAAAAACTCCTCACGTATGTATTCACCCTACACGTCCCTTATGCGGCTAATGAAATGAAGCTGTTAGCGCACGAAGTTATACGTCACGTATGGGAGTTCGCTCTAGGGCCGTTTCAAGATACGTGGGGTAGCCTTTGGTCCTTCCCCATCACCCTAGCAGAAGAACCTATATCGGAGTGTGTAGATGAGCATTATGATGGCACAAATACACCAGACTGCGAGTATTGTCTTCTACAATGCACGGCTCTGCGCATAAGATATTTTCTTTAATTTAATTTTTTTAATTGCAACTACTAGTTTAATTTTTGTAATAAATTAAAGGTAGAAAGTAAGTAAACATCACTTCACAAACTTATTGTAACAAGTAGCTACTAAGAACGTAACTAGTTGTAACAATGTAACTAGTAGTTTAATCTTTGTAGTTATCTTTAGTAACAATGACACTAACAACTACTTTCAGTAGTTATCTTTAGAAATAAATTAAAGGTACAAAGTAAGTAAACATCACTTCACAAACTTATTGTAATATTACTTCTTTTCATGTACACATTAAACCCTGCAACTACTAAGAACGTAACTAAATTAAAGGCTCCAAGTAAGTAAACATCACTTCAAAAAGAAGGTAAGAAAACTAATTGTCTTACCATTAACTATTTCTCAACAAGAACTACCCATCAAATTCAATATATAGTTTCATAATATTGAGAACATAGTTCACCCTACACAAACCCAATAACCTTCCAAAAAAATGCCAGATTTACCAGATCATGTTTTCGAAATCATTGTCAAGAAAGTAGCTAAGTCTGACTGCATCTACCTTGGACCGATTATTCTGGCAGGGACCTGTGGTAGAGACATTGCGTTTAGCGCGGAAGTACTCAGATCGGCGAGCCTATGGCAATTGCATGACACACCATCTCGGATATACCCTGGTGGAGTATATCGACCTTTTTTCCTGCGCTGCTTAGCCTCGAGAAATCCACGGGCCATATTGCTCGAAGCTATAAGGTTCGTGGCAACAGAGGAGAAGATCTATACCGCCATCAGGATGCTAAATAAGCTCATTCCATCAGACGTCTATGCCACTTACAGCTGTGCTATTTTGCAAATGTGCCTGGGTCACCCTAACGGAGGGAACAAACTTCTAAAGATGGTTTTTCAGGTACCACTATCCTCATCATTCGCGTGAACTTCGTGAAGTGGCCGAAGATCTAGTATACTTATTCTGGTCATTTTTCCCACGTAATAAAGATACATACAAGAAAAAGTTCAGGTACCCTAGTCTCATTCATGAAGAAACTGACCCGTCGTGCGGAATGTATCACTATAATTTGCATTATATTAGTACTTGTGAAAAATGTTATCTTAAATGTTCGGTACATCGCATAGCATACATACTTTAGTATCGATGTGGTATGGTTGCTAGTCGCTTGTTTTTTAAAATATAATATTTCAATATATTTTCCTATTGTTGTGGTGATTGTCTTTCATGAAGAAGTTGTATTGCAAAACTAAATATGGAGTTTATAAATTTTGTAAGAGTAATTAATAATTTTATTTTAGTTGCAAACAGCCGTATGTCTAAAAAGGTATATGATCCCGTATACCTATGTAGGTGGACGTAAATAGGTGTACGTCCTTTGGTGGACGTATTTATTTCATTTCCAAGCACTCTCATTTCAAATTCTTCGTTTAAAATTTGTAATTTTATTTAAATTTCAAATAGCTTTATGTTTCAAATCTGTTTCTGATCCCGTATACGTAAGTAGGTGTACGTCCATAGGTATACGTGAATAGGTGTACATAAATAATTAATGTCAATGAGATAAAATTTACGTGAATAGGTGTCCAACCAATTGCAATTCGAATTTGGGAAGGATAAATTATCTAAGCACTCTCATTTCAAACAAGCGTATGTCCAAGTACATCATAAAATATCCAACAACTTATTTATTTAACAAGCCACTCTCATTTCAAAGTTTTCATTTAAAAATGTGTAATGTTATTTTATTTTCAAACAGCTTTATGTTTGAAATCTGTTTATGATCCCGTATACGTAAGTAGGTGTACGTACATAGGTATACGTGAATAGGTGTACATCATTAATTAATGTCAATGAGATGAAATTGATATCCAACCACTTTCATTTCGATTTTGGAAGGCTAAATTCTCCATTTTTAAAAAAATTTCAAACACCTTTATGATTAATTACTACATTTACGAACATAATTATCATAAAATCAAGTACTAAGAAAGATAATGTTTATACAAAAAGTAAGAGTTTCAACTAATAAGCGAAAGTAGACATGCAAATGAAAAACATTAGTTGTAGTTCGGAATACTAAGACAACATCAATAATTAAAGACACACGAAATGCAACAAAATACTAAGACACATAAGGTTACGGCTTTCACCAATTGAGCATCAACGACCAGCTTGGAACGACGTTCCTAATGAAGCGGAAGAACCTTTGGGTCTCTTGGGCCCAGAAACAGGTTGTGCACTTTGGCTCCTTAAAATCTTCTTCAAACCACTGGTGCCAGTAATTGATAACCCCGCACTGACAGGTGTACAACGCCAGGAATCTCGGATGAAAGGCAGCCGCTTTCTCAGTGAAATCGATTAACAAGTCGAAATTCCATCCGTGTGAAACGTGGGCCAGCAACAACCGGCTCATCCTCCTCCGATTTTGCACCATGAGCCTGCCCAAATACTCCTCTGCACGGACGAAGTCTTCCGGCACTGCTCTGAGCCACATCCTGTACACAAAAATGGCTCGGTCGTAGCCTCTCTCCGCAGCATCCCTTATCAATTCCACGCCTTCACCATCTTGGAACAAAAAGTAGGCTTGCATCTCCCTCTGGAAAATAACCCCTGGATTATCCGCGTCATGGAATCTCCTCATCATTGTTGGGTAATGTGGAACCGCCGCTTGTTCATGGAGGATTTGGGCGGGATCAATCGCTTGATAGAAACCCCTGCTTGTGCCGATATGGTTGATAGAACATACAACACGAAGGCGGGCTATTTCCCTTAAAGATGGGTTTGTAGCGGCCAAAATTGTTTCCAGCAATTCATCAGGGACTAAGAGAAGATGGGAAAAATCACCATCACCACCTCTGTTTCTCCTTGGAACCATCATTTATTTCGATGAAAAAAGAAAGAGAATAGATAAGAAAAGGGATTGAGGAAGAAGAGAATAAATTAAAAAGGGAATGAAAGAGGAAGTTATGATGGTTCTAAGTAGGATGTTACGGTGAAGGGATTGAATTTAAAGAGGTAGTGCGGTTTTAATAGAGCCGAATAGTTGTCTTTGAAGAGAGACGTTGAAAAGAGACGAAAATGTGTCTTTTCGTTTGCCGGCAAAATTAAATTACCACAATAAATACAGAGAATAACCAAATCCAAGAAAAATTCACCATTTAACTTTTATGATTTATGATTTAATTTAATTTATGATATACCACAATACTTTTATGATTTATGATTAAATTGAAATTTCAATAACAACACATATCTTTTTATATTTTGGAAACTATATTTTCTTGTCATCATTACAGTTTCAGTTTTCTCAACATCACGTTAACCGAGATATGGAGTACAGATTGAGTCCACATTGACGAAATCATAATTAGTTTTTAAATTATGCGTACAGAAATAGGTAAAGTGAGACTTTAAATAGATAATATCGTTTGTATACCAAATCTTCTCCAAAAATTCCCACAAAAGAGATAATGTCGTTTGTATACTAAAAATATATAATATGTGATAAATGTCTTTAACATTCAGGTGTACAAATTTAGGTGTACACATCCTAAAAAAACAGCAAAAATAATATGAAATATCGACCAAATGGACTACATATTGAGTCCAGATTGAGGTGTTCTTTATTTTCTAGTTATTAGGCGTATAGAAAGAGGTAAACTGAGACTTTAAAGATATAAGAGATAATGCTTCTCGAAAAACTACCACAACCACCCACCAAAATTAATTAAAGTCAAACAAAATTAAAGTAAATATACATAGAAACAAACACAAAGTATACATACATACATAGAATGCGTAAATAATTATGTACAAACAAAAGATCAAATCATAAAGTACGAAATATCGAATCAAATCGATTACATAACCTAAAGAAACATATTCACAGATGCTAATCAATTAGATAAATTCTGAAATAACAGCAAAAGATGCTAATTATATTGGTGTACACAACGCCGAGGTGTACACACCGAAACTGGTTGAGTTTCACCAATAAGTCACCATTTTTCCATTGACGGCCCTGACCTCACTGCATACCAAACAAATACGAAGAACTTTTGTGTTTCCTGTGCCCAGAAATACGACGTGCACATGCTTGGCCCCTTTAACAATTTGTCATGTCAATCAAGTTGAGCATTGGCAACACCACAGCGACAAGACCAAAGCTTCCCAAACTGAGCATTAGTTTCAAATCTCCTCTTCGAGAATTCTTTAGGCAAATTATTGACATAACCACGCTCACCTCCATTAATAATTTTCCGAATTATTCTCCTCATTGCCCCTCTGCCTAGTTTTGAAAGATACTCTAAACCCACGGGGTCTTCGATCACTGCTTTCATGTACATCCCATACATGTAAACACCTGTTTCGTACCCCATATCTGCAGATTCCTTTATGAGTTTTATGCCACAATTGTCTCCACGGTAGAAGTAGTCTTGCATCCCCTTCATGAACAGCAAACCCGGATTGCGTGCGTCATACATCCTCCTCAACAAGTTGGGAAATTCCCAACTTGCGATAAAAGGCATATCGAAGTCTTCGGGAATAGGCATCTCCAATTTCACGGGATCAACCGATGCTAGAAAATTATTGGTTAAAGTGCAGGCCTGGAACCGTTTGCAAACTTGCTTTAGTGTGAAAATTTGTTGGACGGAGTTGCAACTGTATGCGAGAACCTTCTCCAATAGTTCGTCGGATAGCGCCATCAGAGGGGATCGACAATCACGGATATCTGCATTACATCGCCCTCTCTTTGGTGCCATAGTTAATTTTTGAGGTTGATTTGTGAAGAAAACGGTTGTTTATGGAGATAGAATAAGTGCGGTTTAGGATTTGTGAGGATAACGGTTGTTTATGTTGCATATATATAATTATTAATGGGTGTCTTCGTTCAATTAAAAAATAGACATATATATAATTATTAATAATTCACACTAACTGAGCGCATACATTAAATGCAGTTACCGTTAAGATTGTAAATTTGGTGGCTAAACCAAAATTTTGTTGTTGTACACCCATTTGATGTACAACTAAATGCATATTGGTGTACAGATACCAAATTAATCCGGCAACAAAGTATTCACACACCAATTAATAAATACTAAAGTAAAGTAAAGTATAAAGAAATTTTTCTTGATGTACACCCATTTGATGCATTTGTGTACACCTAGATGCATATTGGTGTACGGATACCAAATTATTCCGGGAACAAAGTATTCACACACCAATTAATAAATACTAAAGTAAACTAAAGTATAAGCATATAAATTATCAAATGTACCCACATCCTAAACATTATCAAACACATAATCCAACAAATACACATTTCATAAACTATAAAGTTCACCATTCGTCCTAAGCATTGGCAACAGCCGGATTCCCAACAAACTCTTCGTATGAGTCCATGGCGTATTTCTCCCTTAACCTGTCAACGTCATCGTCCGTTATCAAACCCATATCCTCCACTCCAAGCCCTGCAGCATGCATCTCTAAGAATTTGGCCGCACATGGACCACAGTCACCGGATCTCTCGTTCTGATATATGCCCTCCGAACGACTCCATGTGTAAGGGGTGGTGCGTAGCCCTTCCGTTAATTTGCTATCCAAATAACGCTTCAATATAAATGACATACTTTGACACACGGGCGCCATATACTGCTCCACAGCCGCTTCATCATTATGACTAATGAATGAGTCCAAAATCTCTATGTTGCCCATTTTAAAGTCAATTACAAGGCCCACCCAATGCTCAGACCCCCAGTTCATCGGGACGTAGACAACGTCCACAAACCGTAGAAACATTTGTCTCTGACGCTGATTAACCCAATTTGCAGGTTTTCCCAATACAATGCCCTGAATGGTTTTCCCCCAGTCATACTGATTTTTGTCTCCAGATATGAAACCGTTGTAGTAGTTGCCGATGATAAATATGAACAAGGTGTCTACAAATGCTACCCTGTCTTTCAAGTATATTTCACCTCTACGTCTCCAAAGCATGGCCATTATGACTTGCATGTGTTGACGAATAACAAAAAATAAATAACAGATAATACAGATAATTAAAGAAATTCAGTAGGTACTAACTATATACTTACCATCGTGTTAATCCACTCAGTAGGCTTCGCAATTGGTAGGAAAAATTGATTGTTCACAGTATGACCAGTGACAATGCAAAAGTCACTGTAATGAGAGCAATTGGTAATTGATAACAATGAAAGTTTAAGGAAAATTTGCTTTGCATACGATATAACTTACATGTTCCTTTCACGCGATAATAACTCCTGGAATGCCTTGAACTGGTCTTGTTCCACTGTTTCGAGTGGTTTGTACGCAGCTTTCGATCTGGATACAAATAGAGCTTTCACCTTGGAATCTGCGGTGTAAATATCTCGAATCTTGTCTGACCGTACGCGTGCGCGTTTTCCTCTACCTCTTCCTCCACTTCCTGTTCCTCTACTTTTTCTCTTTACACCAGACGATCCCTCAACTTCTTGTGGGGGGTTTTGGAGTACAAGGGGTCTTCTGCGAAGCATCACTTGCATCCTCAGGCGCAGTATGGTAATATTTCACCGTATTTGAGTCCTCCTCATTAGCCACAGCCTACAAACCACCATAATAATAAAGCGTATACCATATCAATCGTATACCTAGCGTATATCTAAAGAGTACCGTATACACAAGCATATCATATGAACAAGTTTAATGTCTGACCTGTGCATCATGTGCATCTGTCTGCGCTTCATTTTTCTTATATGCGTAACTCAATGGGTGAGCAGTCTGAGGTTTGTAGACTACTAAGATGCCTGACCCTAAATTTATTCGACCATCATCCACCTGAATAAGTCAGAAAAAATATTGCATAGTACACACCCGTTATGAAACTTAATATAGTCAGCTGTTGACTCAACAATTAGCTCACCTCGTTGGGGCCAGAAGGTGGATCTTCATCCGGATTGACGGAGTAAGAAGGTGGGCGACTTGTTCCTGAATTGGCTTGTTCAGGTTCAGGGGTCTTCGTCAGAGCTTCTGGAGTCTTCAAGTTAGCATGGTCCTTGGGAGAATAATGGTCCCCGCCGTAGTAAGTATAGGTCCCTTCTTCATCATCTCTTTCTTTCTGGTGTACACTTGTACACCATCATCATGGCGTACACTAGACTGTGCACCATCATCACCTCCTTCTTCACCTCCATCTTCGTCTTCGTCTTCATCTTCATCCGGCTTCTGACCATCTTTTTTTGGATTCTGTCCTTCGTCATCCTGTTCCCCATCTTCTTTTGACTGGTGTACACCGTCATCTTCTTCGTCCTGTTGGTATACGCCCAATCTCTTGTCCAACTCGGTCTTAATCTTATCCAGGAGCAATTCATTCTGACTTACTATCCATCTTTTAAGATCTGCAATCTGTCCACTTTCAGGGCTTTCAACTTCCGATAGATTAGACGAGTTCTTGCCCCTGCCTCTTTTCCTCTGCATCTTTCGTTTTTCAGTTTGATGAGTTTTCAGTTTCTTCTTCGGTCGGGTGGATGGCTCCGGTTCCTGTTCATTGGTAACCTCGTCCTCTGCATCACTAAGATCCACGATAGGTGCCGGTGCCACAGCAAAATCCGAAGGTGTGAATTTGTACCCCTCGGCCATGAGTTCCTGCATGAATGCAACTTCAGCATCCTCTACCTCATCTCCCCAACACAATTCATTATGTTGGTCATTGCCAACATCATCCACTACCATCTGTTTTACAGACAACTAAGACAAAAAAACAATTGCAAAATTACCAACACAATCACAGAGTACTTATCTTATAAGACAAGTACTACAAAATAAGACTACAAATAGTACTAAATATAATACTACAAATAATTTTGCAGAGGGTCGGATTCCACGGCAAGTATGTCCTCAAGATGCAATAGTGTGATAACGTTTTGACAACCTTCGGGATCTTCAATGAAAGTCTTCAAGTTATCAGGTTGAGGAATTTTGGAGACCAACATTGGTATAGATTGGAGGGCCATGAGTTGTAGTGATAGAGGGAACCCGTAGCATGCACTGGTTTTCTGTTTAAGTTGACGACGCAATCGTGTTAAAGGATTCTCCCTTTTCTCGGCATCCGTTATTGTCTTTGGAGCTTGAAAATGAGATACTGTTTTGTTAAAGGATACCCTCCCCCATTGATACAGCATGAACCTATCCAAGTCAGTCAACATCTCTACGTATTTCTCGGTCAGGGCCAGATTTTTGCTATTGCAAAAGAGAACACCGTCGACAAGAACGATTAGGGCCAATGGTAGCCGTTTCCATCGGGGTAGATCTGGGTCCTTTAGCATTTCAAGCACATCAAACACGTTCATAGCGGTCGCTCTTCCAAACAGGTCTTTCCAGATTCCTGTCTTTCCGACATCTTCTTCTTCTTCTGTGCTATCAGGTTCGGGATTGCAATTCAATTCAGTGATTCCCGTATCGAATATCTCAGAGGCTGTCCACCAAAGAGGAACCAAATCTCATGTTTCTTTGTGGTTACAAGTTGTCGTGATAGAAGGGCATGGACTAGTTTGGCGCTGTTGCAACATCTTGAAACAGGTAAATGGAAGAACTTCCCAAACTAGGAATGAAGTAGCTTCTCAAGATCTTCAGTACCCTTTAACGCCTCGACAAGGAGGCCAATGACATTGGCCTTTGAATATATGTTCAACCGAGCACCAACGGGGTAGCAACCATCGCCGAGGACCCTTTTTGGTAGCTTTTCCGAAAGGTTATTTGAAGCTTCTCCATCTTCCATGCATGTATTTGAAGCTTCTCCGTCTTCCATTCCTGTATTTGAACCAAAACAACAAATCCGAAATGCAGGAAAGATATAATATTCTGGAGAAACAGTTAAATGCAAACCAGGGGAAGATTTTGAAGGAAAGGAGTTCGAAGGAGTTCGAAGGAGAGAACAGAGATCTAGAAAAACTACCCTATTCGTATGATCTTATATATAAACTTCTGTAACTGTTTCTAGATGATATAAGAGTAATCCAACCGTTTGAATTCAATATATAGACATAACTACTAGAGTTCATAACGCTAATACATAAATCAGGTCAATCAGGCGCCCCGTTTCAATCTTAATTTGAGTTAACAAACAGCCAGTACAGTTCATACAAGGTCGAAGTTCATAAAAGTAACTTACTTTTAGAATTCTGAGCAGGCCATTCTAGAAGAAGAGGAGCGAATTGTACTTTGGAGCTACACCGCCGGCGTGGATTGAGACGACTCGCGTGGATGTGATGTTCAACCCGGTCACTCCGTCGCAGTGGCAGGGGCGGTATGGGCGACTGCTCTGTCGGAGCTGTCTTTGAGTTACTCCGGAGCACTCGCCTGGACACCGGAGACACGATGTTGCGCCTAAACTATTTTTTAACTCTCTGCGCCATTACAACGGTCACTCGGAGGGCTAATCGGAGATGGATTGCCGGAGATGCTAGATGGACTACGTCCAGATGTGGATCCCAAATTTTGTTTTTAATTTAAATGTTGGGGTGTCGATAAATTATACATTTGGTTTTACTTCGGTTTATGATATTGGACTTCGGTTTATGATTTTGTGTCATCGGTTTACCAAATTGGATTTTACCAGAAATTTTTAGTTATTTTACTTCGACAATGGCAATTTTGAAAATTAAATATTGTCTTAGGGGCCTAGCGGGAAGACAAACAGTAAAAACAACTCTATCCTTCCTTGGTTTTCAAAACTACCTATTCCTCTAATTTAAAACTTAAAAACTACCCATACAGCAATTTTCTCTATTTTTTTACACTAAAAAAACGTTTGCGGGGCCCGTGAGAACAAACGTATGCAGGGCCCATCAATTTCTCCCACGAATCGCAGTCGTCGATTCCGTGTAAGACTGAGGTTACACATTTATAAAGTAACTTTTAAAAGCTGGCAAAAAATAAATAAATAAAGTAACTTTTTAAAAACTTTATTTCATTTCGCTTTTCCAATCCTAGTGTTTACTGTTTAGGATATTTTCATTTCTTTTTTAGAGAAGACGCTAGAGGTCTAAAAAACACAATAAAGATATGTTTTCCAAAGGTACTCTGACAATCAAATCGAAAACAGCTTAATAGACTACAATATAGTTGTATGGAGAGCGTAAAAAGTTTAAAAACTCTAAGAAGACGCTAAGGGTCTGAAAATACGATGAGAATATGTTTTCCAAGGGCACTCTGACGCTCAAGTCAGAAAACAGCTTAAAAGACCACAATATAGTTGTATGGAGAATGGAAAGAAGTCAGAAAACTCTAAGAAAGAAGGTGAGCCGAGAGTCATTGAGAAAGGTAGGATCTATCTGGACCTGAGAGTGAAAATGGGCTTTTTGCGATTAAAAAAAAAGAGAAAAAAATGTTTGAGAGTGACAAGACTCCACGGTTTAGGAACCACCGTGAAGAAGAAATAAAGTGAGATTACAGGAAAAATAGTCGGAATTATGTAGAATGCCTACAAAGCGTAACAATAAAGCGTATACCATATCATCATCAATCATATACCTAGATTGATAACCTGTGCATCATGTGCATCTGTTTGGGCTTCATTTTTAAATTCCTCCCGAGTCTCACCATAATCTGTTAGATATACGTAATTCAATGGCTGAGATTTGTAGATACTACAATGGCTGCAGCCAATGTTGTTCGATCATGATCACCATCCACCTAAATTAACCAGCGAATTAATACATAATACACTCGTTATCACACTTAATATAGTCACAGCTGACTAACCAATTAGCTCATCTCATTGGAGTCAGAACATGATGCTTTCTCCGGATTGGCACAGAAATCAGGTGGGCGACTTGTTCTTGAATTGGCATGTTCAGGGGTCTTAATTGGAGCTTCTGGAGTCTTGCTTGGAGAATGGTTCCCGCCGTAGTAGGTATAAGTACCTTCTTCACCATCTCTTTCTTGATGGTGTACACCACCATCTCCACCATCATGGTGTACACCACCTCTTTTTTTGATGGTGTACTTTGTCAGGCTGTACACCATCACCATCTCCACCATCTCCATCTGGGTGTACACCATCTATTTTTTAATGGTGTACTTTGTCAGGCTGTACACCATCTTTTTTTTTATGGTGTACACCACCATCTTATCTTCTTCGTCTAGGTGGTGTACACCAAATCTCATGTCTAACTCGGTCTTAATTTTAGCCTGGGCCCAGGAGTAACTCATTCTGTCTTACTATCCAACTTTTAAATTGTGCAATATGTCCACTTTCTGAGCTTTCATCTTCCGATACATTAGAGGAGTTTTTACCCCTGCCTCTTTTCCTTTGAGGTTTACGTTTTTCCATTTGATGTGAATTCAGTTTCTTCTTTGGTCGGGTGGATGGATCCGGTTCATGGTTTCCCTTGTCAGGAATATGAACCTCTTCATCATTAAGTTCTATGATAGGAGCCATAAAAAAATCCAAAGGTGAGAATTGTACCCATCGCCCATAAGTTCCTGCATGAATGCAACTTAGGCATCCTCTACCTCATCATCCCAACGCAATTCATTCTGTTGGTCATTGTCACCAACATCCACTACGGTTTCACAAACAACTGACACAAAAAAACCAATAAGGCTACTAATAATATTACCAATAGATCACCTAGTGCAGACTAATAAGACTACTAAAGACTACTAATAAGACTACTAATAATACTACTAATAATACTACTACTAAGAGTACAAATAATACAACTAATATGACTTACTAAAGGGTCAGATTCCACAGAAAGTCTGTCCTCAAGATGCAAGAGTGTGATAACGTTTTGACAACCTTCTAGATCGTCAACGAAAGTCTTCAAGTTATCAGGTTGAGGAATTTTGGAGACCAACATTGGTATAGATTGGAGGGCCATCAGTCGTAGAGACAATGGGAACCTTGCAGTGGTTTGCTGTTTAAGTTGACGACGCAATCGTGTTAAAGGATTCCCCTTTTTCTGCCTTGGTGATTGGCTTCGGAGCTTGAAAACGAGAAAAATTTTTGTTAAACGATATCCTACCCCATGGATACTGCATGAAGTAATCCAATCAGTTAACATCTCGGCGTATTTCTCGGTCAAAGCCAGATTTTGCTATTGCAGAAGAGAACACTGTCAACAAGCACGATTAGGGCCAATGGTAGGCGTTTCCATTTGGGTAATTCTGGGTCCTTTAGCATATCAAGCACTTGAGAAACGGTCATATGAGTCGCTCTTCCAAATAGGTCTTTCCACATTCTCATCTTCCCAACATCTTCTTCTTCTGCATTGCTATCAGGTTTGGGATTGTAATTCAATCTCGTGATTTTCTTAAACTCCTATATCGAATATCTCAGAGGCTGTCCACCAAAGACGAACCAAATCTCATGTTTCTTGGTGGTCACCAGTTGGCGGGATAGAAGAGTGTGGACTAGTTTGGCGCTGTTGCAATATCTTGCAACAGGTAGTTAAAATAGCTTTCCAAACTGGAAATGCAGTAGCTTCTCAAGATCTTAAATACCCTTAAACGCATCGACAAGGAGGCCAATTACATTGGTCTTTGAATATATATTCAATCGAGCACCAACGGCGTAGCAACTATCGCCCATGACCCTTCGTGGTAGTTTATCCGAAAGGTTATTTGAACCTTCTCCATCTTCCATGCCTGTGATAATCCCAAAACCAACAGGAAAATGCTAAATGAAGTGCTAAATAAGGGTATAATATTATAGAATTACAGTGAAATGCAAAATACACATGAGAAATGAGGGGAATGGGTGCGAAGGAAAATACAGGGATCTGGGAAAACAACCCTATTTCGAAATGCTCTCATATATAAACTTATGTAACTGTTTTATAGATGGTATAAGAGTAATCCAATTAGGCCAACCGTTTCAATTCGAAGTAGTTAATCGCCGAAAAAACAGAAGTAAAGTTAAGAAACCACTGGTTTAGGGTGGTAACGGACAACAGAAATTTATACGTAGGCGGAATAACTCACTTTTTGAATTCTGAGCATGAGAGTCAAGAAGAAGAGCAAATTGTACTCTGGAGCTAGACCGCGGTCGTCGATTGAAACCAGTCGACTCTATGGGCGGTTCTAATTCTTGAACCCTGTCACTCCGCCGCGGTGGTATTGGTGTCTGCTCCGTCGGCGATGTCTTGGAGTTACTCCGAAGCTGCTGCGGGACTCCCAGAGTTGCTGCACGCTTGCACCTAGACGATTTCAAAGGTCTCAGTGATATGACTGATGTTGATTTCAGAAGAACAACGATAAATTGGAGAGACTAATTGGAGAGGCTGGTCGAGAGATTGATTACGTCGAGGTGGATCCGATTTGTGTTTAATTTTGATGTATACGAGAAATTAAAAATTAGTTTAATTTTGGTTTATGAAATTAGAATTTAAAAAAAATAAATTTAACATTGGTTTAGCAAATTGGATTTAACAAAAAATATATTGTTATTTCTATTCGATAATGATAATTGTAATAAATAAAAAATTGTGATAAGGGTTTTTGCCGAAACATAAATAGTAAAAATTATATAATTTTTTGTGTAAAATTACCAATTTTTTAAATTAAAAATTTAAAAATATCTATTCATCAATTTTATCTATTATATAAAATATATAAAATATTCTAACTATACTTTTAATATGATCATATAATTAATTATAATTTTTTTAATGGTTATAAGATGCAATTTTCGTTAATTATAAATACTTTACTACCATATATTTTTCTTTTGCTAATTTCACCGAACAATTTAATTAATAGCGCTAATAAGCCCTTTACATTTCTTATCCTCTTGGCGCTTCTTCCACTCATCATCTCTCGTCGTCATTTAGTTATGACGTCTCTTCCGATTATCCTCTCAGCCTCTTCTCCTCCTCTGCGAAACTTATGCAAACCTTCCTCTTCTCGAATCCCAGATTCCGACCAATCTCCCATAACTCCACTCAAACTCTCGCCTTCATTACAGCTTCTATCCAAAACCCATCTCTCTCTCGCCGTTTCACAGATCATCTCAACTTCCCCTGTTCTCGCGTCAGAATCCTTCACCTCAATCACAGATCCTTCATCTACTGGGAAAATCGATTTGGAGTCAGTTTTGATTTCGATCGATAATTTCTTCAACAAGTACCCGTTTTTCGTGGCGGGATGTACATTCATCTACCTCGTGGTTGTGCCTGTGGTTATCTTCTACCTGAGGAAGTATAAACCAATATCCGCCATGAATGCGTTTCGAAAGCTCAAGAGCCAACCCGATTCGCAGCTTTTGGATATCAGAGATGAGAAGACTTTGGCTTCGTTGGCATCGCCGAATCTCAAGTTTCTTGGTAAGAGCTCGATTCAGGTTCCGTATAGTGAAGAAGACGAGTCGGGTTTCTTGAAGAGAGTCAAAGGAAGCTTCTCTGATCCGGAGAATACAGTTGTTTGTGTTCTTGACAAGTAAGGGTTAAACCAAAAGCTTCAAACTTTTAGCAAAATTGGGATGTTGCTTAAAACCAAAAGCTTCAAACTTTTATTGTGATCATTGTCACCAAACAACATGTTTCCAATGTCTTTGAAGATTTTTGTGGAAATTGATAGTTGCAGAGAGATCTCACATGTTTATTTAAACTTTGATGTGGAAGGCAGTTTTGATGGTAACTCCGTGAAAGTGGCTGAATTGCTTGTAGAGAATGGCTTCAAAGAGGCTTATTACATCAAAGGCGGCGCAAGAGGGAAGAATGGTTGGTTGGTATGTTACTTACATCTCTCTTTCTCTCTGGAATCAGTATGATGTTTATGTTTTGCTTTTGGTAGCTAGACTCCATTGATTCTGTCACAAATCCCGAGGGTCTGGTCTTTGTATTGCTGCCTTATTAACAATGATGTTCACAGGCCATTCAAGAGGAGCTTTTGCCTCCACCTGTGCATATGTATACATCAAAAAACACTAAAGCTCCAAGCAAGAACGAGGAGCCGTCCGTTGTTGGAACTGAAAACTGATTCAAGACCATAGCCTAATGGTAATGCACATTCACATTCATCATGCTACAACAGAAAGTTTCCTTTTTCTCTCTCTTCCAATTAGGTTGTCTCAACTTTGTAGTGGCAAGGCATATGATACTACCAGACCTTATGCGAAACGTTCTCTAGGTGAAAGATTTGTTATCTATTGAATGACCTGTTTAGATCTCAAGACCAGTCTTAGCTCTGTAAAAGCTAACATTTTCAAGATCCAGCTGCATTGCTCCTTTTCTACAGTCATTTCAATGAAATGAGACTTGTTATTATTATGAAATTCTTGTGTTTTCCAACTGTTATATTGCATTGTATGACAAGCTTCCAACAATAAAAAAGAAAAAAGCTCGTGTAAGCCCTAAAATGCTTCCTGAGATTCTTTAAAATTATTAACTTGCGATCCATTTGGTATTTATCTTTGGGATGAATGATATCAAGAATAGTTATAAAATCTGTCACTTAAACGTTAAATCATGGAATGAGTGAAAGAAGAGACAATAACATTACGCTCAAGGTTCTAACTTCACAGCAATGGAGGTATAAGTCTAGTATTCTTCTTCGCGTTTCACTGTCCCACGGTTGAAGCAAACCAAGAACTCTATGTTTCCCTCTGCGCCCTTTATGGGAGATTCGATAAACCCTTTGTTGGTAAATCCATAGAGCTCGACACCATTTATTATCTTCTCAAGAACCTTCACTCATAAACAAGAAATCACAGTTTGTTGTTACCACGTTTTCGACTAGCTATATAAGATAATGGCATAATCACTATACCAAAAGGAATCCAGGAGAGCAATAAACAGTGAGCATCAAATGGATGTGAGTTAACCAGAAAAGATTCAACTGTCTTAAAGAGGCCAGGGAGATACAAACATACCTCCTGATGTACTTCAGGATCTCTTACAATGCCACCCTTCCCAACCTTAAAAGGGAAACAAAATGTTGAAGAACAAATAGTAAAAATCGCAGAGATGATCTAATATATTATACATATGAGTCTGCTCTTCTTGGAGTTTAATCTATCAGAATTCTGGCATCTTAAAGTTAATAGATTGATTACCTGTGATCTTCGAGCTTCAAATTGGGGTTTAACCAAGGTAACTAGAGTTGCATTTTCTTTCATCACATTCATGATAGCTGGCATCACCTGTTCATAAGTTTTTAAGTTTAAAAATTTGCGGCTTATAACACAGAGGCAATCATACTTCTTGGAAACAAACCGAAACAGAAGCAAACTTACCTTGAGAATGGAAATGAACGAGAGGTCTAGTGTCACTACATCCACCATTTGAGGGAGTCCTGGGAGGTATCTCAGATTCGTCCTTTCTATAACAGTCACTCTCTTATCGTTACGAATCTTATCAGCTACCTGTTACAATACACCAAATAATCAACCGACTAATTAATAATTAAGAGAAGTTGCTTAGCAGACTGATTGCATGTTAGAAATCAACCAGCACCTGACCATAACCAACATCTACGCCATAAACATGAGCTGCACCATAACGAAGCAAACAATCCGTAAACCCTCCTGTAGAAAGTCCTGCATCAAGAACTACTTTCTCAGAAACATCAACGTCTAGCTTCTCAATCGCAGCTTCCAGCTTGAGCCCGCCTCTGCAAGTGAAGAAAAACAGTAGAGGACAGTCGACAAAAACAAGGGTCTCAAAGCACGAAGAAACTGTATAAACATAGAGCAACTTGGAGGAATAATCACCTACATACATATTTCGGAACCTCGGCTGTGATCTTTATGGACACACCATTGGATACAGGCATTCCAGCTTTACTAGCTCTTTTTCCATCCACAAGCACTTTGCCTAAATAACATTAAACACTAGAGATTAAGAACTAAACCAGGAACTTCTGTTTCTTTTCAAGACGAGTAACACATATCAATACAGAGAATCACCGGTACATACCTTGTAAAATCCATGATTGTATTAGTGTGCGACTGTATTCCTGATACCTTTCGAGACATGCCTCGTCCAGTCTCTGTTTCTTGCTGTTATAGAGCAAAGAAGAGCTCCATTACACGATGCAGATAAAGATTGAGTGTTCTTGATCTCAATAATAAAAGGAAGACCCTTACTTCTTTCCACGTATAGCAGTAGCAAAACATCTCATGGAACTGGATTCTCCAGCTCTAACCCATCTCGCTGAACAAACAAGATCAAAGATAGCATCACATTATCATACACGAAGCTAAAGAAGATAAAAAAAAACAAAAATTTCGAAGTTAAACATAGAATTGAGGCGCGATTCATCAGCAAAATTGTCTCTTTCCTCTAGCATTTGACAATTTAAGAATATAACAAGACATTATCTTCAACGAAGCTAAGGAAGATAAAAAAAAAACGAAAAACTTTCAACGAATCATTTCGAAATTGGAAGTTATACATAAAACTGAGGCGCGATTCATCAGAAAAATGGTCTCTTTCCTCTAGCATATGACAATTAAAAATATAAATTTTGGGTTTACACATCAATTAAATCGATGAATCGAAAAACTGACAATGCACTCTAAGTGTTTGTGAGTATTACTCAACCAAGAAAACTTCATAATAAGAGACAAGAACAGTCGATTTTTGATAAACCCGTAAAGTAGATTACATTTGCAAATAAGCCAGTAAAGTAGAGAAAAATACCAGAGAGAAGAGGATTCTGAGATTTGAAGAAGAATCCAACGAGAGAGCTGTTGCAAGAGCGCAAGGTTATGGGAGACTTTAGAACATGAAAACTCATCTTTTTTCTTCCTTGGGAAGAGAAGATCGAAGAAGCTTATTGATCTCTTCCTCAAAATGCGAAATTATTTGCAAGAGTGTTACAGCTTTTCTGACATTTGACAAATCCACACATACGCACAACTTTTGGATATTTCTTTTAGGGTTGGAACCGAAGCCTCTTTCCGAGGAAAAGGGACTCATTTTTTATACTCCTTATTCAGAATTATTTGATGTTTTAGAAGGTTTTTTTTATTCAGAATTATTTGATGTTCTCACTTTTCAATGCAAAATTTAATGAATTTTTATAGTTTTTGATATTTTATATTCTGCAGATTGTCTTCTTATTGGCTGAATGATATTTAAATAAATTATAAATAATACTCC